ACCGAATATGTCCTTTAGATGTCCTTTAATGGTATCTTTCTGGTCAGGATCTGCAGCTTCTGCTACATGCAAAAACTTACACTTAAAACTACGAGGCCTTGTTTGCACTGTTTGATGGAAACCACTATGTCTAGTTTCATTTCTTTTGCATAGAGATCCTGGAGAGGAACATTTGCGCTCATGGTTGCTGTAGATATCGTAAGCAAAAAAACACGTTTCCATCCTGCAGAGTTCACTTTCCAGAACACCTGTCTCCTTATCTCAGTCTTTAGGCACCCAACCACCACTGACAAATCCGGACTCTGGCGTCCCTTCTGTGCCTCAAGTCTCTATCTGAAAAGAAAGATAGCTGTGCTTCCCCGTTTAACAGGGCTGTTTGGAGAGGGAGTGCAGGAGACAGTATAAAAACCTGGAATCTACTAGCAATAGGGTTGTATAAGCTTAAATATAGCTATAAAACACATGCTAGCCCCAGGGACTATGACAAATTCAGAGTGTCAAGATGTTTTAAGGGTCAGGATCCTTTCGTAAAAGGAAGATATGGTGAACTGCAAAGTCAGAAATAAATAAAGGAACTAATCCTCCACCCTTTAAGAAGGAATACATGCAATTGAAAAACCTGTCTGAATGTAAAATTTCTTTCAAGCAAAATCTGCCCTTAATTGGTTGTACAGGAATTCCTGTCTTCTATAGTTTCATTGTGAAAACTGGTAACTGCCCAGAAACTAATAAAAAGTTAAAAAAAAGGTTCATGAAATAACTCAGAAAGACCTAAAAAAAGTTCACATTAAATTTAGCAATTTTTTTCTTTCTTTTCATCAAAGCCCTTGGTCATATTTTACCTGAACTTGTTCATTTTCCTAATCTTATCTTTGGGGATGTAAGTGAAACCAAATGCACTGTTTCTGGTTCACGAACAGAATACTTTTCATTCCAGTCATGGAAGCATTTTAGCCTCCCTCAACAGGTACATCTGTCCACTAGTAACACACTCCTATCTCTAACAAAAGATTATTATGTTTTTGAAAGTGACAACAAAAAAAAAACATTGAATAGGTGACATTATTTGTGGAAATAAGTAGAAGACATCGTTCTATTAGTTAAATAAAAGTAAAGCAAAGCAACATGACAGCCAGTAAAGCTGAAAATAAATCTTCATCCCGTTGCAGTTTCTTGTGTTTGTAGACGTTCTTAGGTTTTTACTCTTACTTTTACGGTTTTGTTTTGGGTTTTAGTGTATTTCCATGGCTAAATAGGCCTTAAGGGCAGAAAGGCTGCTAAATCTGCATATTCTTTAGTCAACTAGGATATGCTGGTTTTTATGCTGCTGGTTCACTAGAGGCCCCTTTTAGAGCAAGCGAGCGAGCTGTGATCTGTTTAGGGTGCTGTGGGTGCTGCAGTAGGATGCATTCCCTTGTTCACACCGGGAGGAAGCGAGCCCTGATCCATTTATGCTTGTAAGGGCTGGTAGTGTACTTTTATAACCTTGTGGGAATTTAAATACATTAGCCTAATTAAAATTGTTGTTGTATTTGTTTTGTCAGGCTCTCCCTTTTATCTGCATGATAATGATTTTGCCTCATCAGTTCAAGAAGTGTCTGTGGGTGGAAACAGTGAGTGATAGATTCATATAATGAGGCTCTAAATGACTACAAAAGACTTTACATCGCTGTGAATCATCCATCTACTGCGCTGCATTATTCAGAAATTAATGCAACCCTATAAATGAATAATGATTTAAATGTACTTTTAAAAATTGCTAATGCTCCAGCATTTCTTCTTTCACTACATAATCAGAAAATTGATTATGGCTATGACTAGACCTATGTTCTTAATTTAAGTTATGTAATGGTAATGTAGAAAAAGTCTTGTGACAACAATAAAATTGAGAGATTTCCAGGAGACTAGAAATGGGTTTACAACCTTCAGAACTCCCTAGCCAAATTCAGTCAGCTTCAGAGGGTATTAACACCAAAAAAACCTGCTGAAAGGCTGGAAGATCTGGAAAAAATTGAATTACTGCTGAAAATAATGAAAAAGATCCAAAATAGATGAGAATATATGTCAAATAACTAATATAACCATAGAAAACATTTTGCTCGGTCCTTGTTTTCTCATTATTACCCTTCTTCAAACCAAGCGGTTAAACGAAGAGAATCACAAAATAAGGAGCTGTTATGAGCAGCAGAAGCACCACACACTAACTTCCTAAGCCTTTGTTTAAAGATGATCTCCAGTGCAGATTATCTGATGAACAAAATAGGGTAAATGCAGCCACCGCCCTTATCACTGCAGGATCTCTAACTGGATTTCACTTCATCCAAATTCTTATTTTTATACAATATTGTATAAAATCTGTCTCTTTGTTAAGTTGAGATAAGACTGACAAACAGATTCAAAATTGTTGGAGGCAGGGAGTAGGCAGATAAAGAGAGACTAAAGATTGGAGAGAATGGTCATACAAACCTTCAGAGACCAGGTTCAAATCAGATGTGACTTGTTTCAGTACTGCTTAGATTCAAATATACAGGCTGCTCCTCCATAACATATGCCCTCCATAACATATCCCCTCCGTAACATATGTACTCGACATATGTTAAGGCACAGTAACTCAGACTACTCTCCCAGTTGTAGCCCTGTAAAGCTTACTCCATTAACATCACTACAAGCATTCTGCTGTTTTCAGGAGGAAGGAGGATGTAACTGAGATCAGAATTGGGCCTATTCATTTTTTTTGAAAACTGTGTGAACAATACACAAATAGTTACTTTAGGTACATGTTTTTAAAGCAGATGTTACATAAATTATAAAATGCTTTTCTGTTCCAGTCTTAGTAGCAATTTTTTGGAAGCAAACCAAACATGAGAAATTGTTCTCTTCATATTAAAACAGGTAAAATCTAGTAACCCTTTTACGATACGACTGTTGAACAAGCTCTCCTTCTTGCGTAAGATAGAAGTATAAAGGGGGACATATTTGGTATTTCCCTGAAACTATATACTGAAAAGAATCTTCAGGCACAGAGGATGGCTTCAGTAAAGCCATCTTCCACTAGGACTCTCTTATATTCTGAAAGTCTCTATGAAAGCATCATAAATTACTGATGCTATTAAGAACATGAACTCTAGTAAGGCCACCGTCACAGACATCCCCCTCAGCAGAACTTTGTAGGAATCACTACTGCTCCAGCAGCAGGACTGGGTTTGCACCCAAGACGTGGTGAAATATTGCCACCCACCTATCAAACTACTGCTACCTCCCAGTTCTCAGCATTTAATAAACTTATCAGTATGTGCTTATTGTTATTACCGAATTCTGCTGATAAACTGTGATCTCAACACTTTTGTCTATAAATGATTTATGAGGTATTTACTGAAAATGGTTTCACCTGTCTTAATTCATCTTAGCCAGCGAGGCTTTATTAAAAGCCTGGGTGAGCAGTGGGAAGCTGTTTTCTGATTCCTTGGTACAGGACCACCCCGCCTGCACTGAATATCGCTTCAGGGGTAACATGAGAACTCCCCTACCTTCACCCATGCTAGCTACTCTTTGAACTGAGAGGACACACTGACCTGCTGTATATATCACTTGAATTTAAAACTAAACGTGAGCCTTTGACAATATTCAGATTTACTAATAAGGATCAAAATTGTTTCCTTTTAACTACGAAGAATTATTCCTATTTTCACACTTTCGTTACTTTTGTTTAGTTAAAACTTCTCTAGCTTCATGTCCTCGATTCTACATTTTTTAAAATACGGTGAAGAAGAAAGGATAAAGTTGTCAAATGTTTAAAGATTTAAAGGGAGACGCAACTTTGAATCTATTAGATTTTTTCCACTTAGAAGAAGGAAAAATTTAGACCTCACCCCTAAATCTTAGCCAGCAATAGCCTGTTATTAACAAACAATTGTCTCATCTTATTTTTGGAAAGGACACCTTGCAAGGATTTTTAGTGTTGTCTCTCAGAGCTGATTAAATATTTAAGCAAATATCACCAAACGCTGGGTGGTTGTAATTTTTCCATTGATTCAAACATCACTATTTTTTCTTCTTACCCAACACATACACATTTTTTCAAGTGTTACTTAGCCTATTTTCTAATTATTAGCAATAGTTTCTGAATTTAGTACTCTCTTGGCTCAACTCACTAATTAGGAAAAAAACAAGCTTCTGCTATCGTCTTGAAATTGCTTTTGGGCTTATTCCAAAACAAAAATGTGGAACAATTCTTTTAATATTCAGTATCAAGGAATTCAGTCAAAAAACCCTAGACTACCTCACATGACACAAGTTCATGAGGTTTCTTGTTTAAATATACTCCATACATATGAGTACTACTACGGGATGTTCCATTTTGTACAGTTAAATCTGATGACTTGTAGCTGCAAAAGTGGCTATTACTTGTACAGACTTGCACAGGCAACACATAAGCAATAAGCAATGAGTCCAACTCATTGCACTCTCCTGATTTTCACCGTTAAAAGCTGGCAGCCCTGAAATAACGTCATGTTACTTGTTTTTAAGAATCCCTGCTTCTAGTTCTTGAGAACTTTGCTGATCACAAAAGGTCTAGGAAATGCCTTATCTGAAACTTGTAGCATTAAATAGAAATTGCAGTGATTCATAAATTATTCTCTTTTTAATTTATAAGACTGACAAATGTGCCAACTTTTCAATTTAATTAGCAAAATTCACGGTAAGAAGTGTATTTCAGTCAAGCTCTGTTCTCCCTGCTTCACCTTAAGTTTCATCCTTTACATCAGCCAAAAATATATGATCATCAGCAACTTGTTCTTGCAGAATATTTCTCATGTTTTCATTCTGCATATTTACATTTATCCTGAAAGAGGACTTCAAATTCTTCCTGTGTTTGGCTGAGAACCCCCTCCCTCCTAGGAGCTCCCTAAAGGAACAGCTTCCCAAAGCAGGGAAGTTAAGAGATACAAGTACATCAGTGTTCAACTATCTTTCACAATTACTCCCCCCTCTATTTCTAGTGCAACAAATTCTACCGTTACGTTCCATTCACAGACATCTTCATCATGGAAAGGATGATGAAAAGAGAGGTAGGAAAATAATCAGGGTGCAGTAAAAAAAAAAAACAAACTAAAACGCAGCGTGCAAAGTCAGAAAGTCTAAATCACGTTTGTGTATTAATCATAGACTTTGAAAAGAAATATAAAATGGCTTCTCCTTGGAAGAATTTCAGACATAAAACTGAATTTCTTTTACTCTGTATTCTTCTTCAAGTCCCTGAAATGTAGAACTCACTGGATCCTTGTATAATAGCATGCAAGTTTCAGTCTTAACTATGGATCTACTACTATTGATTCATCATCTAGTAGCCTAGGAGAATTAAATCAAGTTGATTAAAATTACCTGGTTCTATCGAGTTCTGTTATAATGAATTTTCTTCCAGATGAACAAAAAGCACACTAATGCAATTTCAACTCCTCCTACAGTGAAGAATCACTAGCAGCAAAATGCATAAATGACTTTGAACTTAATGTGCATTGTCTGTTCTGATCTCAGTTATGATTGCAAAAATAATATTTTCCAAATTACCTCAGTTAGATGTACATAAGTTTGAATGCCTGTACTGCTGTTACTGCAATGCAGCAGCAATATCTACATGCCCTATACAATATATTATTCTAATACAATTAATTTTATTGTTATGGCTTCACTTGAAGAGGCTCTTTTAGTGACTTACAGAATATGCAGGGATTAGAATTATTAGATATGAAAAAGTGGGCTTTATATATGAAAAGATGTCTTAGATTTACACAAATATTCGGAAAAAAATCCATATTACTTTTTAACATCCAGAAAATAAATATAGCCAGTATTTGTACAGAGGTTATGAACACATACACGGATTCTAATCCTTTTCTTGATCATAAGAAACCCGGTAGATTAATTTCATTTCCAGGCACTGGACTTCTCCCCTGACTTCCTGGTTCTTGGCTTTCGTGAATTATAGCGCTTTGTGAATTTTTGAACTACTGTAGCTTGAGTTTCCTAAAACCTAGTGAGCAGTAAGTGGTATGACATTTAAAATATGATTTATTATATTCCTGAATTACATACATATTACTCTTACAACTGAAAAAATACAAAGGTTTAATAGAGTTTCTGCCATCTTGCATAACTGTTCAGTCAAGTATATTAGTGTATTTTCTCAAACCTATAGATTTTGGTGAAATTCACTTATGACACATATATAATTCCACAAACTTTAAACATCATTATCTCACTAAAGAGGCATACATGAGAAAAGAAAAAAAATAGTCCTTAGTAAAAATCCCTCTGTTCTACAAAGGAACGTAATTTCTTAGATACAGAATTAGCAAACTGAAGAGCAAGATGTTGCTTCTTCAGAAACTAAGGCTGTGATAGGTAGACATGGAGTACATAATGAATCAAGTGTAGAGAATGTGACCCAGTGCAGAGTGAAAGCAAGCATTTTCAAAGTTTTATGATATGAAAATCTTTGTCAAACAGTTCTGTTTCCATGCATGCACACCATAACAAATGAAATATTCCCAAGTGAATTGGATTCACAAAGACCAATAAAACAGTTCCAATACTTCTAATGACATCTGTAAGCCACTGCTTTATTTTAAGACTTAACAGATAATACCTTAAAAACTAACAAATAATATTCCCCAATCTACTGTTACCTTTCAGTCACAAGTTTTTCATCTCCTAACCTTGAACTGTGAGCAGTGGGAGATACCTATGCGCAGTTAGCATCGCCTTGCTCCGCCACACCTGATTCCTGTATATGGACATAGTCACTTTTGCAGACCTGAAAGACAAAGGTAAATTTGGGCTTGTATTTAGTCTACTTTGCTTGATAAGCACAACTTGCATAAATACTCTGATCATGGCTTTGGAACTAATAGGCAGTTTTCAACCAAATCTAGCAGCCGAGTAAGATCCAACAATAACTATTTTCCTATACATTTTGTATTGTGGGTAGCTCGGAGAAGCTCCTGTCCCCTATTCATTTGCAGTGTCAGCTCAAATCATACTCTTCCATTTAAGCAGAACCATTTTCCAAGGGTTTGTAAGGAGAAGGCAAAATTTTAAAAATAAGAGAGTGTGGTTTTACAGTCCAGTTCCTCGATCCGACTTCCAACATTTTTCTTTGTCTTAGTCATGAGCATCTCCTTATACTGTTATCCTTTTGGTAAACTGCAAAATCTCTCAGTGAGACCTATCTGGATTGTTTCTGGTTATTCTTACATTCCTTTAGATAGTACTGAAGGATATATTTTTTATTTTACTTTTTTAAATCTCCTTTTCTATGGCATCAAGGTTTATCTACTCACTTGCTCGTGTCTATGTGTTCTTATTCCCAATAAAATGAAGCCAAGAAAGCATTAAATTGTTCCAATTTACTTTACTGTAAAAGTAGGGCGTTAGGTAAAAGAGAAACTAGGTTTTGAACAATTCTGTCCTAACAACTACTGATCCCACTGGGGAATTTCTACAGCAACCAGCATGCCGTTGCCAAAACATTCTGCAGAAAGGAATTATCGGTATATGCAGAGATAACATAATCTTCATATAAATCAGTTAAACAGTCAATCAACCAAGAAACAAAAATCCATAGGAATCTTGGCTTCATTAGTTTCAGTGCTCACACAACTACTTGGAGCTTTTTTAATGGTGCTTTAATCCTGTTAGATTTCACAGGCAATGCAGTTAACAGGATTGAGCTGGATTCTAGTCCTTCTTATGCATCATTAAACAACTCTAAAGCAAATTAATTATATCTGATCAACCCACTGAAGGTAATGAGGCCATGCAGGGTGCAAGTTAGGGGCTGCAAAACATTTATTACTGATGACAGGGCACCAGAAAGAAACCTCTGACTTTCAGACCCATGTGTGAGCTAAAGATCTGAGCTTGAGTTAGTAGAGATGGTTTTAGTGAAGTAACTCTTTTCATCTATAAAGTGTTGCATTTGAAGTGAAAAAGTGGAATAGAGCATGCTGCGATACTATTTTCATTTCTACAGAGCCATTTTTGAGAGTGATACTAGAATTTCTCTTTGCTGCTTTAAGGCTTCAGCACCCACCTCGATTCTTATAGGACTTAATTCAGCGTATGAAAGTGTAAACTGGGTAGGATCGCAGGAGGCCCCAATCCATCCAGATGGTGATTCAGGTAGGTATCAGGGTTGGGATCAAAACCAAATTTGGCCAGCTAGTCACAAAATATGAACTCCATGGGACAGCTTAGATATCAGCACGCCCAAGTGAGGTCCTCATTCTCCTGTGACTGTTACTTTGTGCATGGAGGTTGACAAGTTCTTCCAGCCAGAACAGTCACTGTAGTAGAGCAAACCCTTCTGCTGCCTCTGGCCACAGATCATGAGATGCCAGTCATACCCCTAAAGCTATCTGCATCCATTCCTGTCTCAATGAAAAGCTGTTCTCTCCTGTCTGAGCTGTGATCCATCAGGGCTTTTGCTCTTCAGCTAAAAAGAAACACCTCCTTCCCACACTCCAGATCTATAACCCACCTCCACCTCCAAACACAAGGGCTACTTGCCAAGCCACTACCTGCTACTGCTCAACACAGGAAACCTGAAAGGCAGCAGCACTGCTCCTAAACTCCTGCTACTGCACACACTTCAGAGGTTATCTCAAGACCGGAGGCATGTATGAAGAATGCGTCCCCTACTGCAGCCTGACCCCACCCCATGCCTCTGGATGCTGGGACTAGCAAGCTGTGCCTGCAGACAGCAGTGCCACCCAGGGCTTAGCTCCTGCAGGGCCTGCTGTAGCCACCACAGGCTGACCCTTCTGGCACACGCCTATCTAGAGTGGCTCATGACAAGTCTGCTACTTCACACATACTGAGCGTGTGCACCTCTGGTCTACTGTGAACGCAATGTCACAGGAGACACTGGAGGTTTCAAGGTGCACTACCTCACATTGCTGTTTGCATCATCAGGACCCCAAATAAAACTCCAAAGCTGGCCGAATGGTGCTGCCTGTCCCTTTTCCTGACTACAGTGTATCAGCATCCGCAATACCTCATCTTGGACTAGATTTTCTTCTCCCTGTTCTGAACACCCTTGAGGAATTCATAGACAAAAATCTTATTTTTCACCCTTTATTCAGGTAGGCTAAGAAAACTATAAATTAGGTTCTCTATTCTCCCTGTCATCTTAACAGTCATCTTCTGTATTTGCTTCCATTTGAATCCAGTTTTTAGCATAAATACGCTATGCTTAGAAGAAATTTAACTAAAGTCCTGAGCTGTATTTTGCATTAATACTGTACCCGTGTACCTGCACAAAGACCACATCATGTGGCTCTTAAGCAGTGACATGTCTATTTTCTAATAATTCAGACCTAGCAATCTAACTCTCTCTTCTGTCAAGACTAGAAAGTAGACAAGAAAAATCATGATATGGCAATTTTGCTGGGCTTTACTGAGCTCCATTACATGGAGATCTTGCAGTGCCATTGATGCAGGCAGCATTCACACAGCAGTGTGTCGGACCAGCTCTGCAGGAGGAGTCAGCAGGAGACACAAACCGCCCAAGGGCTCTGTTTGCTTCCAAGAGGAATTGCAAAATTTTGGTTTTGCTCTGATATCAGATATTGCTACACTTCAAAATAACAACATCCTGTGCAAACAGAATGGCCTGTCTTTACTGAGTTATGATGCTAATATAAGTCTGTAAAACCCAGTCCATGAACTGAAATACAGGCCAATGACAAATTTAACTCTGGGGTAATCAATATATACTGGATCTTCCATCTATACCAACCTAAATTATACACAAATCATACCCAGTCTTCGGATAGTTCTTCTTGCATTATTTATTGTCAAACTTGTCCAAAAATATTGAAATTGACAACATTTCTCTCAGTAATTTGAAAATGTCTATGAAATAAGCTCATTTTTTCAACAAGCTGTTACAGAATTAACAGTTCCTTTCCCTTTCTTCTCATCCTCTATAGTCTATCATAAATAAAAAAGAAATTTAACAGGCAAAGGTAGTTTAACATGTTAAATGCAAATACCGAAAGCAAATTCTAAAACTTCGCGTATTCCTAACACAGCTCTTCTGAAAAATATGTAGCTAAAAGACATACAGAGTAGTGCAGTTTTCTTTAGCATGGCTTTTCAGAAAGGTATCACTACAGATTATCTTTCCACTTATCAAAAAGGCTATTTTGTATCATGGCAGCTGGCACAAGCTGTACAGAACACGCCTGAGAACTTACATCTCCAAATTCCTTATATTCACTCTACATAGTTGTAATGATTTTGGGAAGCCATCTTTAAACACCTTCCAAACTCTTCTGGGAAGTACTAAAAATACTACAGTGGTTAACATCTTAATACATACAGAGCCAGCCATATGGTGTAAACACTTCTTTATGCAGTTTCTGTAACAGCTTTTGGGAGCTGGCTAATACCTTGCTGGCCCTCAGTCAGCTGGGAACACACAGGACACTGATGCCCAAGCCTAGGGGAACTCAGTCCTGCTAAATGTGTCTTCAGTGTGAGACTGGAGAAGTGATGTTTCCTCAGCTGCAGAAGAAAACTGGTTAGACGGCAATGCTAAATCTTAAAACATGCAGATCGTGGAAAGATATGATACACAAGGAATTATCAGGAAGGATAAAGGAAGATAAAGGAAGAGAAAGACGTGCTTGGAGAGCAGAGCAATCTGTATCCTTCCAAAAACTGAAGATAGACCCTGCCTTTTTTTGGTATTCCAAAATCCTGCACATCCTCACCATGGCCACTCCAGTAGTATTATTATGAATTGTGCAGGGGAGGAGAGAAGTTTGTTCGACTAGTATAAGCGTACTGAGAACGATATCTGAACGTATGGCTTATTTCAAATCTGTGAGTAGTCTTACTGCTGAATTGGGGCAGGCAGAGCTTTCCCTTTCTCAGACAACATCAGGGGTCACTATGAAGAGAGAGTGGAGAGAGTAAAAGGCACTTTCTTTATATATGTTGGAATCACGGATAGGAAAGCTGTGCTTCAAATCTTCAGTCATCAATAAGAGAGACAGCATCAGGTATATTATTACTAACTGCAATTCCAATTATTCAAAGACTTTTTCACTTCTTCGAATGTCATATGCTACAAATTATCCCACTGAAGTCAATGTTCTTCTTCCCTTCTATAAAATTAAGCACAATATAGGCCTTGAGCTAATACAACTTCATTATCAAACACATTATCTTCTCCTGATCCTCAGTACATCCCAAGAACTTTACTCCAAGAATTTTTAATCTACAGAATAACTATTCCAGTACTTCATACTGCCTGATGGAAAATACTGTGCTGATTACAACTGCGCATGTTTTAAACTTGAACTATGAATATTCACAATTTTAAATCAACAGCACGTGTTTGTAGAGGTCTCGCCTATTATCACGTAATGATTAAATGACAGCACACTCATGCAATTCTAAACTTCATAAACATCAGCTCAGAATTTTATGAAAATTATAAATAAAGATGCTCTCTTAATTAGAACTACATGAAACTCATGCTGCTTGCCTAGGAGAAAAAGAAAAAAAAAGAATTGGTTAAAACTAAATTACTAAATTGCTAATTGGAACCAGAAATAATTTCAGGAATAAAAATGAACTCTAACTCATTCCTCGGTATGGAATAGTAAATACTGAGCATCACTGCTTGTAGTAATAACAGTTCACCCTCCTTCACCACTAAATTTGTCATGTATCTGAATTCACGTGAAGCTTGTGACTGCCCTGGGTACCAAGTAATAGAGACATAGTCACTCAAGAGTTAGCAATCTGTACTGTTAAGTAAATGTGGTGATGTCTACAACAGATTAAAAAACTACACTGGTATGCAGTGAAGAAAGGAACGATAAAAAGGATGCACACAGCAAGTTATTTGATTTTCAACAAGACTGAAGTTGGCAGTTATATCAGCAAGGAGGTGGAAGTGACACGATGCTGGCAGGAGCGTGGCAGCTCCTGCGGACAGTCTGCCTAGACACGAGGCAGGGACAGTAGAGGCAGTGGAGACTGCGAGGCTATCTACTGTACTGAAGAAATTAAGCAAACAGGAGGAATTAAGTTTAAATAATCAAGATGTAGGTTGCATAGGAAAGTCAAAAGGTCCAGATAAAAAATACTTGCCAGATTTTAAAGGATAAGTCAGTTAAATGTCTGGAGGAAGCTGGGTTTTAGCTGTTTGCTAAAAACGAGCAGGTGTTAGCATGCTGAAAAACTTGCATCTTCATTAAATCTTCTCAAATATTGCCATTGTAAAGGACTAGAGATCCTTTTAGCTTTCTTTCTTTGTAAACTATACTAACTGCCTGTGTTCCTGAAATCGCTGTTTAAATTGTATTAATATTATTGAGTACTGATCTCCTTGTGAAGTTTGTTACTTCCATTTCTAGATTCCATTTCTTTAAAAAAATACAAGCAAGAATATAGCTATTACTGGATTTTGCTTAACTGATCTTCCTGAATGCGTGTGGGCATTGTGCAAGGCTCATTGGCTATTCAGACTTTTTCCTGAAACAGAGAAAATTGGATTTTTTCTCCCTTAGGCTAGCAGTTTTATTTATGGATGCGTATGACAAAAAAAATTTAACTGATCTTCAGTGGTTGCTGTATATGTGCTCACAAAACACAAAACCTCATCCTTCCTCATCAAAACAAAATTAACATTAATTAGTTAATCTTGTACAAATAACCTAGTAGTATCATAGCAGTAGTTGTCTAAATAGGTGACAATGACAAGTATTTCAGTATTTTCCTGGGAAATCAATAGTTTTAAAGTAGAAATTGTGACTTTCTGCCCAATTAATGAATCTGCTGCTCTACAGGTCAGTGTGTCATTCATAGTGTACTGAGCAGATTGTGAAAGAAATCACTTCTTAGTGCTCTTATTCGAGATGAATTGCAACATTGGTCCAGGATGATTATTAACAGTTGCACGATTAGGAGGTATAAACTGGAACAGAAGGCAACAAATGCCTAAAATCAGGGGGATAACTGAACTAAAAGACATTATTTGTTTGCTGCGGCAAGAATAATGAAACAAAGTGAGTCAAGTCCCAAGAGTGATTTTGTTTTCCTGTGGCTAGACCCGTAAGAAAGGTAAAAGAGTATGAAAACGGCTGGTTTCCCCAGCTCAGTTCAGATGTTGTCTTCTACCTCAAGTTGAAATAACTCCGATGATAAGCCTTAAAGTCTTGCCTTCTCATTTGTCTGCCTGATCTCATTTCCACAGTGTTGGCCAGCACAATGATTCCGCTGTCCAACATCTGAAAAACTTTCAGTTGTATTATTTCCTTAAACACGGTGCCCATGCTGGAAGCTGAAGAAGGCATCATTGATGCCAGTCTGAGCCTACCGGATGTCCCGTAATTAAAACCTGCTATTACTCTGGTACGCTCTCACCCATGTAACAAATCCCCTTGATTACACCTTGGCCGTTACCTGTTCCATGATGACTACTGTAGGGAGGACCTAAATTCTAGGCTGCATAAACACATGTACGTTTTGTAGCTGAGGTATGCATATTGTTTTCCTATGAATTACTACTAATAAAAAATTCAGGTACCTAACAGCAGCGATTTTTAGAGTCTGTGGTTACTTTAACTTGGATTTCAAACACATTCTTCCATTTTAAAGTACTCTTTAAGCATCCTGTAAATAAAAAAGTTTGCCTCCTCCCTAGGCATATTTTCCCAGGGTTTCACAGCTCTAATTATTATGAGCAATATCTTCAGGGTCTCCTGCTACATCTCTCAAAAATACAACAAAAAAGATCTATTTGGAAAGTTTCTTTGAACTTCGTAAGTGCAATAAAAACCTCTGGGAAAGAATCTATTATGAGTACTGTGTCAGCAATTTTAGCTTATTACAGGTGGCTTGCTCCCCTTTCCACATAACTATTTAATGAATTTAAACTAAGGATTGTATAATTTCATAGCCAATAGCAGCCATGAGCTTTTACTGGGAGGTTTTTAAGCTGAGATTATGGACCAATTTAGTAAAGGAATTTAATGAAGAAAATAATTCTTAAATGTGGCTGAGCAGTGCTTGACTTCAATCATTTCAGCGGGAACTCAGCACCAGACCACATCTTCCATACCGTTTCTGGGAGCCTACAAGGCTTTTCAGCATCATTCTAGCACACAGGAGACATTTTTAAGGTGCTGGCCAGTACCACGCTAGGAAGGTAACAGCTGCTATAAACGGAAAGGGAAGAGGTCCAGCAGCACCAACCAGACTTGCAGAGCTATTGCATAACACATTCATTCTCGGAGTGAGATATCTAAGTGCTCCCAGATAAAATGTTTTCATACTTCCAGGTGGTTGGCAGGAGATTCAGCTTTTAATGGTGAACCACCAGGAGAAGCTGTTAAAAGGTGACAGAATGCCTCGTTCAAGCATACTGGCTATTACATTTCAACAACTGGATATATATATAGTTTTTTAATTTCTTATCCACTTCCCTCTCTCCTTCCTCTTCCCCATAAAAAAATACCCGAACTTTTTCCCAGAGGAATGTTGTTTCTAGGATAATAATGAAAAACAGCTCATGAAAGAAAGAGACAGGGAGGAGAGAATACCAGTGAAAAGATACTATATACTATATTCATTCTTTACTCTCATTTCAGTACCCTCACAAGATTTAGTATCAGTAAGTGGAGAAACAAGGTCTTTTATGCAATGTGAATTCCATTTCAAAACAATTTAGACAATCAGCACAGCACAAAAGATACAGTTTCAAAGGTTTTATATAATTTTTTACATTGCTTTCTCAAAATGACTTTTACATGACACTGTTTTTGTACAAAAGCTTTGTACAAATTGTTGAACATTTATTATTTGGTCCAAAGTGTAAATTTACTGTAGGCTAAAATTACGCAAAACCTTGCATGCTTAGGATGACCACAGGCTTTTATGAATTTCATTTTTACTTGTTACAGTTTTGACACTTGTCAACCTGAAAGATGGAGACAGAAGGTCAAATGAGGAAGATATTGGTTCTTACCCCGTGCTGACACAAACTACACTGCCACAATGACCCTTTTGCTCCTGCAAGTCATTAAAATAAGTAGATGCTTCTACCATCCATTGACACATCTTCTTTCCATGATGGCTACAAACTAGGCCAAATATATTGTGACATATTTAGTATTTCTGTTGGCACTTCTTCTCTCAAACAATACCAGAAAGCAACTAAAAGATATGTTCTCTGACTTATGAGAATGAGAGAGAATAGATTTAATTAATTGCGACCTGTTTCACTTGATTAATATATAAGTAAAAACCTGAACACTGATGAGCTGAGCTGCGGGAGACTATGCAAAGGTTGCCTACCAACTTCAGGTTCTGGGAATTCCCCGTAGTCTGGGAGGGGGTTTAGAGAAAACAGAGGAAGGGAGTGAGTCAAGCCAGATTCAGACACCTGCAGTATAAAGGGCAGAAGAGATTAAATCGGAGAACTCGGTACACACCAGTTGCTTAGTGGCCTGAGCAAGAATTGCTTCTCTGTGACTAGTCTGTACATAGCTGCTTTCCTAAGCATAATGGCTTTGTGGATCTTCTTGACTATGTTGTACTCACAGTATCGGTATTAGTCATGGGTAGCCAAATGCCATCTGTTACACAGGCTGCAAAGGGAGCATTCCCTGCAAATTCTTCCATGATTATAGCATAGCTTCCCGGGGAGGTACCCCTGGGGGTAAATAAAATGTGGAGAGTTTTGCCATCTCCCACTGGTAAACTCTAATATGTGCTATGGTTGCCCTTGTTAATATTTTGATCCTATTGCTTAATCTACTTCTGCAATTTATTTGCAAATCAGAGTACATTTCAAAAAAAAAAAAAAAGAAGAAATCCAAATATTGTTTTTCCAGGGAAAGTGAAAACTATGTCAAAGAGAAGAACTCCTTGATATCCGCTTTCCTTGTGAAGCTGGTTTCATCGACTTAGGTTTATGCAAGGCATGTCTAGAAGAAGGTCTAAAGAATTTGGTCACTATCCGGAAAGATATCCTGACTCTGGTGAATCGTACTGTGGCAAAGAAATAAAATTACTTTTTACTGTTTGGTATCTTCTGAGAATGCCCATACGCACCACTAATCATCCATTACTAACAGTGTGAACACATACTTAATCTCTTCTTAATTCTAGTACTTGATTTCAACTATTGTCCTTTTGTGACCTAAACACTAGAACCTTGTCTTCAAGTAAAGGGAGATTATTAACACGTAATTCAAGGGAGAAGTCTGAGACCCATAAAAGTTATTTTTTCATCTCTATACTCAGCTAAATAACAGGATCAAAATGGCTGAATTCCAAAATTTTTGCAAACAGATAACTAAAGGCAAACAAATAAATCCATAAACATTAACAACATTCTAATGACTCTCTAACATTCTGCAAATGCTTTCTAAACGCTGTTAACAACTAGATAAAAGGCCTAAGAGGTATTTCAGTATCAGATAGCCTTATTAGCTGTAAATATTGCTGCAGTAAGCCAGAAGTAAATTTTTTACCATGAGACATGTAATTAAAAAAAAGTTAACAAACATCACACATTCACTTAGGAAAAATGGAACTGATATGATATGAAATAGAAAAAAGTATTTTGAATCAGCAGTATAGAATTAAATTGCAACCTAACCTGAAGAAGTTTGTTAATCCATGTTTGAAGTTCAAGTACAATCTATTTTCTATAGCAAGCCTGAAACCGAATGCAAGCAAATGTATTCTGAATCCCCTTTTCCAAATTGAGATGCTTGTTTCGAAATGTATGTCAGGATATGCAAATGTGACTTGGACTGACACTTGAAGCACACTTTGGAAGTAAAAAATATGAAGACCTAGCCTGTAGTGACAGCTCCCTTTCTGTCTGGAAGTGGTCTTTGAACTTGATGGGATTCCCAGGATGAATTACACGAGGAGTTTACTGCTTCTAGTTGACAGGACGCCCACACCACGAATAACTCATAAATGTGGCTTGCATGTTTTGTTCAGTACTCCACAGTCCTCCCATGGTGGAGGGGAAAAATAGCCTACCATGAATTAAAAGGGTGTATGCTTATTTGCCTAACAGTAGCCCTGAGAAAAGCACCTTTGGATTAGCAGATACAGGATGCAACAGAAAATTAATGTACATATTTCTTGGCACTTTTTCAGCATTCTTGTAACTAGGTTTCTGACCTACTTTTCAGCATTTTTCCTGAAGGTGGGGTAACTCTGTCTAGTAATCCATAAACAAGAACTGAAAGAAACTTATTTTTAAAATGAACAATTCATTTTGGAAGAACTGATCCTCAAATATACCAGGTAAGTCTCAAGGGCATGTTAATTTGCACATTATTGTAATTTATTTCAATTTCTACATTGACAGCAATGTTTTAGACACATCACTAGGAAGATACACACTCTGAAGTCTCTCAGATACAGGTTTTTTCTCTTTATGATACCTTCTTCAGCCTTTGTTAGTAGGAGCGCCAGAATTTTGAAAATAACAAACGCCATTTGGGGATGTCTACTAAAAAGAGGCCTTTACTTGGTAAACAGGGAAAGGCCCACACAGCTGTACAGGAGAATCAGAACGGGAAATATAAAGTTATGCAGAGTTATATTAATGAACTTATCTATTTAAGTGGCTTCTGTCACTCAAACTGTTTTTTCCTACGTTCTTAATGTATCTATTTGGACATGCTGCCTTCTTGCACTGTGCTACATTATGGCATAATTTCATTTACTATATAGATGAATATCTCCTGGGATAGAAGTCATAAAATTCAGGCACATATTAAGACGTGAGGTAAACAGATAAATCACCTGGCTTACCAAATGCTCAGGGTAATATTCAATATTAAAAAAAGACCATACAGAAAGATCAGCTAGGGTCTGTAACCATTTTTCAGACATATTCCCATGTTGAAAATTAGGCTGATACGATGCTTGACCTGTATATGGATTGCTCCAGCCTTTAAGGCTTATTTATGTCACTTACTCATTTATAAGCCTGGGCAGAAGCGGCCCTGACCCTGCACCCTGCTTGATGCACAGCCTCCTGTACCTGTCTAGCCTGGCCCTCGCTGGTCTCCCTAGGGCAGCTGGCAGCACCCGGGCAGCTCTTAGGAATATCTAAGTTGCCTCTGCTGGGCACCTCTTCGCTCTAGCTCTCCTCGCTGTGATATTCAGCGTTTATTTCTCCTCTTGCTTCTGATTCTGCTCTTCTACCTTTTGTTTTTTAGAGCTGTCCTGGCTTTCTCCATCACTCAGCGGTGACGACGCCACGTGGCTGCTCCCCGGCCGTGGCCATATTCCCTGCCCTCAGTGAAACCAGAGCTGCGTATGAGTGGGTCAAGGAATAGTGATGCTCCCAAGTGACCACTATAATGAAAATGATTGGGCTGCATACGTTGGAATGGGATGTTGAACAAGAATCTAAGAGAATCAGCCAAGTCCAAGGACTCGTGAAAATACACAAAGGGTTTCCCCTGACATACATTCAGATATCTCTTTTGTTTACCTTGCTACGATGTGAAGTTGGTTATTCATCATCAACATCTCATCAGTAAAATTAGTTTCAGTTTCAATCATTATATAATGCAAATGATACTCTAATGATAACATCAGTATATTTTATTATTATTGTTACATCAAATCAACAATCCTAGGTATATATAATCCTTTTTTTCCCCCCTACTGAAACAGCATACAGGGTGCCTCTTTATAAAAGGATAAAGAATAGATGTGTCCACACAGATTTGTGTCAAAAATCATTCATCCACCAAGGAACATAATGAAACAGGATCTCTGTACAATTGTAATAAAATCTACATGACTTTGATGATAGCACTAAGTCCCTAATTAAGTAAAAGGGAGTTAGCACCATTAAATAGAAACATCTTGAGATGCAGTGATAGAACAGAGTCACCCTCTGTTCAGCCCTCGCAGATACACAGAAACATAATTTTACAGAATGTCAGACAGAAGTTCAAACTGTCCAATATTAAATGTAAAAAGACCTATGAGACTAAGAAGCACCTTTGAATATATGACAAAAACCAATACATTCACAGAGTTTAACAAAACGAATGAATCCTTGCTGTACTAATGACAACGGGAGCTTCATAATAAAACTTGCAGATACATCAATCTGTCAAGGTCCCAGCCTAAATTATACCTTTACATCGACACAGGCTTACCAAGACCTAGAATAACCTTGAATAATAGAGTTGTTGTGATGATGTAAGGAAGGGAGAGGCGTAGGACGGGGATTCTGAAACTTCAAAAATGCCTTTGAGAACATCAAGTAACTAAAATCCAGAAATCTGAGTCCACTCACAACAGAAAGACAGAGAGGTAACACTGTCCCTAAGAGCACACTTGTCTCTTTTGATAACCCTCAAAGCAGAGACTCCAGCCGCTTTCTGTCTTGAATCGTCTCACTGATTAACATAATTGAGCTTACATTCCAAGACGCTTGCTCTGAATTAATTCAGCTCTGCTGTGGCATCCACCTTTGGGGATGTTTGTCCAGCTCTGACAATCTCCAGTGAAGAAGCTTCTTTAACCACCCTCTGTAGACTCTTTCTATGTGATTCACTACTCTGGGTTAAAAGTTTTTTCCTAATATTCAGTGAAAATACTTTTTCTTGAAAATTATTCACCCTACTCTATCATTGCCTATTTTTATAAAAGCCTTTTACATATTTGCCACCTGTCCTGCCACTTTCTCAAGACATTACAGCCATTGCAAAGGGTATTCAACTGCCAACTAATACCCGTGTGTACCCTTCCCCTCCAGGCACACATATGCATGAATTCACCCACGCATACAGCCTAGAGACTAAAAACGAAACAAGTTTTGCTTTACGAAGCATGCTCTTGCGCTCAGCCCAGTAACAGCAATTCAGATAACCTCAGGTGAAATTTCAGAAAATTTTAAGAGGTCAAAGTATGAATAAGTCTAGCAATACAATCCATAAGCCTGGCGAAAGCAAAACTCGTGAAATGCTGTGTGAGTTAAAAGCTGCCTCAATAAGACAGACCGAA